CGCACGCTGGAGGCCGTCCTCGAGTACATCGAGGGCCGCAACACGCCGAGGGCTGGAGTACCCCGACCCCCCGTCCTTCTCTCGCCGCCGTGGGAGCTCGTGGACGCCGAGGCGCATGGACCCCGGGGCGTCCTCCTCCTCGTTCGGTCGGTCGACTGGCTCCCCCTGCCTCCGCCCCGTCAAGCCGGAGCCCCAGGACACGCCTGTCAGCCGGCGCACCCGCAGCTCCGGCGTCCGCATCGGCAACTCCACCCCCGCCTCTGGCCGCCTCGTCCTCGTCGCGCCCAAGCCGGAGCCCGGCCTACCCCCGGAGTACGAGGAGATAGCCAGGCGTGGCTTCTCCAACGACAATGCCCTACGGTGGGCGCGTGACGACTACCTCCGCGACGAGATGGTCCGGCAGCGCCGGGCCCTGGAGGAGATAGCCGCATGCAAACGTGGGCGCGAGGATGAGCACGGCGTCGTGGTCCTTGACAGCGACGACGACGAGGACGCCCCCGGACCGTCCAACCCGCCGCGCCAACCGGGGGAGGGTTGCAGCAGGGACGGCGGCCGTGGCGGAGGTGACGACGGCGGCGTCGGCGGCGACTACACGCGGTTCTACCGCCTCCTCGGCATGTAGAACTACAAGGGCGGCGGGCGGCGAGGAACGGCGAGGGAGACGATGAGGAGCAGACTAGTAGCGTTTTTTTTTTCTTTTTTGTAAAATATTTTAAATATGAACGAACTCGCCGAAGTTTGGTTTAATTTGCGCCGTGTTTGTGACAAAATTTAAGTTTTAAAAAAAACGTGGACGCCACGACTGGGATGCATCACGCCCCCAGCACACGGTTTAGCGCCGGTGCGTCCCGGGGGCAATTTTAGGCGCCTCCTGGGGGGCCAACAGCTGGAGATGCTCTAAGCGCCTAACTTGACGGCATGGTACGACAGCCACTAGGCCAAGCTCACTTGGTTGTCTACTAACATGAAAAGAGTGCTATTTGATCTGTATAAATTATTTCAGAAAGAAAAATGTTAAATTACAAAAAGAATTAATAAAAATTGAATGAACCACAAATTTAAATAAGGTTCATACAAATCAGGAAAAGTTGGCAAATTTGAGAAAAAAATCATGAATTTGAAACTTTTCATACAAAATTCGAAAAGATCATGAATTTGAAAAGGTTCATGAATTTAGAAATAGTTCATCAAATCTGAAAGAAGTTCATAAATTTTGGAAAAAGTTCATAGAATTTGAAAAAAAAATCTTTGATTTTAGAAAAAGTTCATCAAATTTCGAGAGTAAGTTCATCGATTTTGAAAAAAATAGTTCATAGAATTTTGAAAAATGTACATTGATTTCGAAAAAAATCATTGATCTCATAAAAATGTTCATCTAATTTTAAAAAGTTCATCTAATTTGCAAAAAGTTCATTGGTTTTGAAAAAAGAATCATTGAACTTGCAATTCTTTGTTCATTTTGAAAAAAAGTTTCATCGATTTTTTTAGAAAGTTCACGCATTTAGCGAAAAAAGAATAGAAAAACGAAAAAAGGGGAACAAAACAATTACAAAAAAAGAGAAAGAAGAAAACAAAAAACGGTTTGGGAAGCTTCCCAAAACTGAGGGCTTTGCGAGCTGGAGAAAGAATAAAACAAAGCAAACAATGTTAGTAAGCAAAAGTCATTTGATGGCGTAGTGGTTGGTGCACCCGTGTGTGAAGGGTGAGGTCCTGAGTTTGAATCCAGTGCGCACCCCGTGTTGATGAACACACCATTGCAGAATCTTGACTCGGACCTGTCACTGAGCATCGACAAGGAGGTAATGTAGATTGTGCGTGATGAGGAGAAAAAATTGCTTCAATTGGGAAACATGGAACACTTAATGGATACAACTTGATGCAAGTAAATCAAGACGATACGCCAATGCTCAAATCTTCTCGGTGATCTCATATGGACCATAGTATTTGAGGGATAATTTATGATTGGTGCATCGAATGAGGAATGACTGATGACTGAATATATGGCTATAGTTTCAGAAAAAAAAAATATGTCTTACAATGCAAAGGACCTTTCAGTGTGATGTTTATCAGCTTGTTGGTTCATCCTATGTCGAACTCGAACTAGATGCTAATGAACAGAATCGAGAACCACTACACGCTGGGTCAACCATTCTTGAATGTCCATATGAGCAACATCAGTAGCAGATATTTTGAATGTCCATATGAGCAACATCAGTGGCAGATATACCAAAGTAACGAGGGGCATGTCTATATAAGATCTCAAAAGGAGTTTTGCCCACAACTGAGTGTCAATTAGATTGTACCAAAGCTCACAAAGAGTACAATGATTTAGACCACTGATGCGGATGAGCACTAATAAAACATCGAAGATATCATTCAACATGGTAATTAGCATGTTTTGTCTGACCTTCTGTCTCAGGATGATTGGTTGTGCACTTGTGCTCATTTTCAGTTCAGCACTAGTGGCTTTAGTCATAGCTTGCCAGAAGGTGCTTGTAAATATAGGGTCCCTATATGAAAAATGTACTTGGGCATGTTTTGTAATTTATACACATTATCAATGATACCTAAGCCACCTTCTGAGCATTAAAGGGATGTCACGGGGGAATAAAATGCCCATATTTTGTAAACTTATCAATAACCATTAAAATGCAGTTGCAACGACTAGAGGCAGACAATCCACTAATAAAATCTATTGTAATCATTTCCCAAGCTTGGGTAGGAACAAGTAGTGGACAAAGCAGACCTGGATACGTCCTCTTTCTAGTTTGGCCCGTTGAAAAGTAATGCAACACTTGATCATATCCCTAATGCAAGTTTTCATGCATATCCAACAAAATAAGGAATGGACCCTCCTATAAGTAACAAGGAACCCTGAATGCCCTCACAAAGGACTGTCATGAAAAGCCTTGAATATTTGCATATGTAAATGAGGATTTGCCAACCACAAGCTGCCCTTGTATTTGAGTAATCCATTTTGCAGAAAAACTTTTTTCCTGGAGTTTGGGTTCAAAGAGAATTGTTGTAAAAACTAAAAATCTTGTGCCTTCTGGTCATTAGAGTAAAAATCAACAATGTCCAGAAACCAAGCTAGGGTAGCACTGGACAATGTCAGGATATGTTCAGAAGAAAATGGCATCCTAGAAAGAGCATTAGCTGAAGAATTTGTAGTTCCTTTCTTGCAAGTGGTCTTATGTTGTAGGCCCATTATTCTAGTCAGAGCTTTCTAGTGCCAAGCTAGATGTAAATGTTATTATTCGAGCTAAACTCTTATGGTCAGTTCTGATATCAAATTCTTGCACTTTCAAATAAGACCTCTGTTATTCAATAGCTAATAAAATAGCTAAGTACCCCTTTTCATACACTAACAACTTAGATTCCTAGGACCCAAGGATTTGCTAACATGGTAACATATGCCAGTGGATGTTCATCTTGCATTAGCACAACACTAATTCCCATATCACAGGCATTTGTTTCTACTACAATAGGCTTATTGAAGTCAGGTAAACCAAGAACAAGAGCAAACATCAAGCCTTTCCTAAGAGTTTGGGTGGCAAGTCATGTAAGAAAATTGCACTTTCTTCAGCGGGTTTGTTAAAGGTTTCTATAGTAACCAATGATACCCAGAAATGCTCTCACTTCCTTTGTGTTAACTGGTGTAGTCCATTGAGCAATTATCATAACCATATAGTTTATATTTATATCTCTACAATATAAACCTAATTTGAATTAAGCTTAGGGTTTAACTATAAGTGTGTTGTGGGTGATTCCAAAATTAGTAGAATAAATTTAGCAGCTTCCAAAAAATATTGGAAGATTAGATATAGGTTTATAAAAGATTCACCGGGTGAAATCCCTCAATTTAAATAGACAAAATCTATTCATTTTATGAATTGCAATTTAATTAAAATACAATCCTTGCATTCTTTTAAAATTTGGGAGGGTCCTCATATTAAATATGAGGCTCTATGAATATTTAGGGTTTGGAAAGGGTATTTTGAACATTTGGCAAAATTTAGGGTTTTGTCCCTTTAGGAAAAAAAGGTGAGGATTGCAATTATCCTCATTTTTCATATTATAATGAGATGAAAATGATACTTATGAGATGCCTATGATGCACAAAATCAATTCCTAAGCATAGTGCTAGTCCTGGTTGTTACATCGCTGAAGGCCTATATTTTTGTTAAGATGCTTCAGTGAATAGCCTACTGTTGTTTCAAGATCGTGCTATGTCTTGCTCGTTTTGCCTGCTGAAGGCATGTGTTTCGGCAAGATGTTTCAAGGACATGTCTACTGTTGTTTCAGGATTGTGCTAATTGATTCGTACCGTGTGATTGTCTAGCTTCTTTCTGAAGTTGCCATGTTGGTTCATCACATTCATGCACAACAAGATACCCAAACTCTGCAAAACACATGAATAGGATAGCAACATATAAACAGAGGACGGGAAAACACGAGTTTCATAGAAACTCAATTCCCCAAATATTGGTTCATTCACAGGAGTAGAAAACACATTCAAAATTGAAGTCCCAACCACATGAAAATGCTGTCTAGCCATAGATTCTACCACCAAACTCAAAATAACCATGAAGCCGTCTAGTCTAAAATTCCCCCCTTTGAGATAAAAAAGAAGAGCTAACATCCCACTAGGCTAAGATTCCGGAACACTGAGGGGGAACTCAATGTGTGCAGGAGGCACTGAAGCATCGCTCTCATCATCACTCAGCATTTACTAGACTGACTTTGACATCACTAGCAAAGGATGCAACCTTCAACTCCAAATATGTGAATCTCTCATCCACCTTCCCAAATGCATCTTGCCGGAGCAAGGACACCAGCCTTTGGAAATTATTTACATACATACATGAGCGCGCAATCCAAATCCAGCCGGTCCTGGAAGTTGGGACTACTCCTAACTCATTCCTAAACAAAATTTATCTGAACTATTGGGGGCTGCGTGGTCCCTCAGAGGCTTCGAGCCGCATACCACTTGTTGATTCCTATATTTTGAAGTGCTTGTATCCATAGTCGGAGCTCGTCATGCCTTCCTCCCAGTCGCCCAATTTTCTGCCACCAAAAACAACCTGTTTGATGCCCAAATGTCTGCAGTGTTTGCCAAACCAACAGACCGGGTGAGTTACAGTCACTATGATGGTTAAATCTGGAGAACTGTGCAATCACAATTCGTAATCTATATTATGCGTTATGAAATGATGCTACTTAGGAGGGTTTTCAAAGCAGAAATTATAGAGCTAGCAAACTATAAATGAAACAAAAAGCTACTAGTTTGGTTATACAATTATCTTCGTCTCACAATTGGGGTTCAGCTAATATATGGTTACAGAGTTAAGGTGCCAGTGCCAATTTATCTCCACAATCTAATTGAAAACCATCATCTGAGATGATACTTCCTCCAAGCTAAACTGCTACTGTATTGTACTACGTCAGTGAGAGATGCCTTACTCTGAGCTTAATTGTGTAAGACAGTTCAGTAGTACATCCAATCCAAGATGATCTGAAGTCCCAAGGTCCACCCTGAAATAAATAGAAGATGATTTCCAGAATAGCATACACCACTTTAAAAGGCTTCAAACTTACTGAATGTTTCCAATCCTTACCACACTCTGCCCCAACTGTCTTGAAACTCGACATCACTGATATCGTGGAAAGATGAAGGCATTACAGCAGAAGCTTCCTCAGAATCGTACGAAGGGTCAAAGTCCAGCATTGAGTTGGCCAGCTGAGATCAAATTTTACAAAATCACAACTCTAAATGAGCAAGGGAAAAACATAAATATCATAGAACAGCAGAAGAAGCATGCAAGCTTTACATACATAAACTTCAATGGCCACATAGATGTTGTAACCAGATGATAAAGAATAGCTGAATAGGTAAACGCTACTATAAGAGGTAAAACATTTTTCTTTATTCTAATATCTTGGCCTGTGTGACTGTGAGTAGAGTTTGCAACACTTTTTAGGTGCCAAGTTAAACCATGCCAAAGATGGTTCACAAATTACATAGAGAAACAAAAAGGGGTAGTTCACAGATCACAACAGTGTGCATTTTTTTTTCAAAATTTAGAAGACACCAAATATAATGTGCAAACTATTTCGTATTTCCAAAAAGCTCGGAGGGTTTCTCTTAGAACTGATGCACAGTATTATCTTTCAGTTATTGATTTGGCTTCATGAGTGGAGGAATCCAACTGGAAATGAGAATAAAAAACATGGCTGCAATATAGGATTCAAATATCAAACAAGTCCAACCTGCAAATTTGAAGAGTTGAAAGCTCCTAGCCTTCCCATGACATACCAAGCCTGAATAACCTGTGAAGAAACAGTTGCCGTCAAGACAGGGTGGTGGCTTTCTACCATGAGAATCCAAAGAAAAAATATACAATGTCACATTACACCGCCAAGAAGGTCAACATCTCGATCAGTTGGTTCTCCAAAGAGTTCAAACCAGATGAAAGCATTTAACGGGTTGAAGCTGCAAGGATACAAAGATAAATGAGATTCAGACTTCATAAGACTCCACATCTTTGAACTTGGAAACTTTCCTATTGCTTTCACTGCTATCATCATATCAACCGTCGGTGTACTCCCCTCAAAAAAAGAAGAAATTAACCGTCTGTGCAATGTTGATGTCAGCTTAGCTGTTACATTGTTGATTATGCATTAGAGTGGCCCAGATTCAGATTGTTGCCTCAGTTTGAAAAATGGGAAATACTGCATTGAAAGCAGAAGTTGTTTTGGATTATGGATGTTTCTGGAGATGTTGTGTCATTATTATTTCACTAAAAAAGAATTTCAGTTATATCAAAGAATCATGGATACAGAGAGAGCAAATCGATGTTTGGCAACGAGTGCTACTACTGAAGTACTGATTGAAGCTGTCCAGAATCACTTTCATCTATCATACATGCCAAGAAGATAAAAAATACATGCGTGTTCATCATCTACGCGACAACTCACTCTCGGAAGCTGACTTTGAACGCAGCGACGGAGCCCGTCTTGGGTCTGTTGAACCCCTCCCTGCCTTTGGCACGCACCCTCTCTTGTATCTGCACAGCAAGCACGCAAACCTCTATAATTTCAGTACAGCAGATGCACTGCACTTTGAGGCCCCAAGAATCAAAACCCCGGTTATTTATTTTCACAGGAAAACGCACCCTCTGCTTCATGAGCTCCGGGTTCCCGATACTGTCGCCGAGGATGGCGCGCATCTCCTCGTCGTCCCTGCAGGCGTTCTCCAGGACCCTAAACCACCACAGCAACCACCAGTGAGCTAGCTAGCTAACTGAGCAGAGGGTTCATACATTCATTTCAACAGCCGGGATCCAAACACACACGGTCCATACGTACATACATACAGTAGCAAAGCAGAGGGGTTCAGAAAGGAGGCGACGGGGGGAGATGGCCGACGGACCTGGCCCAGCCGGGGTAGGTGTGCTCGCGGTCGTACTCGCGGCGGCGCCGCTCCTCCCGCACCCTGGCCAGCCGCCGGTCCCTGGCCGACGTGCCGGACGCCGCCGACACTGCCGCCGCACCGTCGCCCCTCCCGCCGGCAGCGGTGGCGATGGCGCGGCGGAGGTGGAGGCGAGGCGAAGGCGGGAGCCGGGAGGGGAACAGGGTTTTAGCTGCTGGAGCTAGCAGCGGCATGGTTACTGCGAGGTGAGCGCGCGGCATGGCCACCACCTTATCTTCTTCTTCCTGTAGCTAAAGAAGTAACTCCAGTGGGTCAATACTGCACTTCTGTCACTTGGGTTGGGCTGCTTGGCCCGGCCCAGTTGTCAAACAGGCCCAAAGCCACACAAATCTGTTTTTCAATTCTTTTCTTTTTACTAACTGAATAGCAAAACAGGATAGAAGTTTTGTCATCTACTCAGAAAAACATCCACTTTTCAAATATATATTCTCAGAAAGGCAAATGGATGGATCCACCCAGAAGAGAACAGGCCAAATGTAGTCTAAGCATCTGGGTTTTATTTGCCTATTTGTCGCTACCTTGTTGAGCTCAGAAAATAGATAAGCATGCGCATTGCTTCCTTTTCCCTAAACAGAATTTGGTATCAAAGATACATAACTGAGTAAACATATTCTAACTGAAACAAAAAACAAAAAAACAGATTGCGCTGTGAATCCCTAGCGAAACCAAAGTATCAAACATGTTCTGCTTCTACCCGCACAGCAAGGTGCTTTCACCACCTCAACTGTCCTCTTGCTGCCATACATTGGGTATGCTTCTGTTGACCAGGTTCATGCACGCGACATGGATATGCGAGGAGCATAGCTCGCAACCTTCAGCGCCAACAAGATGCGGTGCCAATTCACAGGGCACCTGAAAACAATTTTAGACACGCAGTAAATACACAAGATTGATATAAGTAAACCAACACAGAACAGAGGGATGTCGCGAATTACCAGAGTGTGTTTCATACCCTTTCACGAGGGGGGCATATGGTAATGATACATGAAACTGCCACAAGTGTATAAGCCCCCTGAGTTCTCATTTCACAGACGCCGGCAAGCCCGGCCTTGAAACAGGAGCATGCCCCTCGTTCTCAACTGCAGGATTCAATGATTTCAGCCTTGCTTGGTGCATCAGTTTGTACACACTCTTCCCAATCAGGCCTCTCTCGATGGCATGAACCCAGAACATGTTCAGTGTCTCCTTCTCGTCCCCATAAGAAGTGCATAGACAGTTGTAGATCTGGGGCGTCACGGACAGCTGCTTCTTTGCCATGTCATTCAATGTGTCGGAAGCAGCAGCCAGCTTTCCTGCGGTCAGCTGTGCGTATGCAAGTGTGGCATACACCAGACAGTCAGCTTCTAGACCTTTGCCTTGCATCTGGTCAAGTACTTTTTGTGCAAGATCAACCAGCCCCTTCTTGCAGAGCCTTCGGATCAGAGACCTGTACACTGATTTATCTGGTGGAAGGCCTCTTTTCATAAGTTCATCAGGAAGGAGTAGCACTGCATCTGCATTATTCTTCTTGTAGAAGCCATCAACGAGCCATGAAAATACACTATAATTGGGTGAAAATCCTGCATACAGATAAACCAAACATCATCAGTAGAGACTAATATGCCTACGTAACCAGTGAAGTGATGTAAAGAGTTAGTCTAATTGCATACTGACTGTTTTCTATTGTAACATAAGGATCACACGCCACTCAAAGCACTGCTGGGTGGTTAGACATTAAATCCTTCAGTCTTTAGTCCTTACCGGGCTAATACTACTGATTTAAACCGCAAAATAAGACAAATTTGGAGTACCTGCACCCATCATCTCAAACAAGGCCTCTTTGGCCTCATCTAGCTGCTTGGCCTTGCTGAATCCATGGATGAGAGCCTTGTAAGTGAACTGATCCAACTGCAAGCCTGACTCCATCATCCTCGTCTTGACCTTGCATGCCGATGGCATGTCCCCCTTCTTGGAGTATGAGTTGATCAACGTGTTGCACGTCACATGGTCAGCCTTCACCTTCCTCTCATCCATTTCGCTAAGCAACCCGTTCACTTCCTTCATCTCGCCATCCTCACAGAGCTTCCTAATGATCGCGTTGTACATAGCCACACCCGGTAACATCCCCCTTGCCTCCATCGCCCCTCGCAGTTTCATCGCTTCCCCCACATCACCCACCCGGCAATACCCATCCACAAGGGTGGTGTACGTCACCGTGTCCGGCTCTACGCCTGCCGCCACCATGTCTCTATGGAGCTGGGCTGCCTCCTTCATCCTCCCCCCCTTGCACATCCCGTGGATCACGGTGTTCCAGGTGACGATGTCCGCCTCGACACCGTCGTTCGCCATCCGGTCCCGCACGCACATCGCCTCGTACTGCATCCCCTTCCTGACATACAGCGCGATGGCGGTGTTAAAGGAGAAGAGGTCCAGCGGGATGCCGGCGGCATCCATCTTCGTCATCAGCGCCTCGGCGCGCAGGGCGTCCCCGGCCTTGAGGCACACGTGCAGCATGGCGTTGTAGACGTGCGTGTTCATGGCGACCCCGGCCAGGCCCATTTCGTCGAACACCCTGCGCGCGGTGGCCGTCATCCGGGCCCTGGCGAGCGAGGTGAGGAGCGCGGTGCAGGCGTGGGCGTCGGGCGCGAGGCGCGCCGCGCGCATGTGGTCGAAGACCCGGACGGCGTCCCCGGCGCGGCCGCCCTGGGCGAGCGCGAGGAGGAGCCAGCTCGGGACGTGGGGCTCGGCGAGGAGCGAGGGGAGGATGAGCGGGGAGGAGAGCGGGTGGCGGAGGGAGAGGTCGCGCAGGAGGGAGCGGGCGACGGGGTGGTGGCGCGGGTGCGCGGCGAGGAGGCGGACGAGGGCGAGGGAGGCGTCGAGCGGGTGCGGGGGCGGCAGCGCGCGGAAGAATGAGAGGGCCGCGGAGGGCAGCGGGGAGAGGCGGCCGAGGACGGCGGCGAGGAGGGACGGGTCGGCGGCGAGGAGGTGGGCGTGCGGCTTGAAGGAGCATTTGATGACGGCGGCGCAGATGGCGCGCGGGAGGTCGACGCCGGCGTGCGGCGGCATCGGACCGCCACGAGGAAGTGAGGGGGGGATTTTGATTTTTAGGCAACTCTACTGTCAACACTAGCGCATGCCCTTTTCAGAGAGACTTGCAAAATTCTCTATACCCATCTCATTCTCTAAAACCCCTCAAAAAATATATTTCATTCTCTAAAAGAATGTAGAGCACTTCTTCGCCACGCTGTTTTTCACTCATGGGATTGTCTTTTTTCTTTATATATCGGGTTATTGCGGTTGTTTGTTTCATTTGGTTTTATATTATCTGTGTTGGCAGGGCCGTACCTAGAAAATTGAGGCCCCGGAGCGAAATCACAATTTAGGCCTCATGTATAAGAAAGTCAAGTAGACAACTAAAACAATATTTTTATTAGTTACTGCGATAGTACAGACTTCTCAGGGAATTTCAACTGCAAGAGAAATTTTTTAGAATTTTAAGCTACAGTTTCATCTTAATTCGCCAGCCGCCAGCGCGGAGTCCGCGAGTCATGGTCTCAAGGAACAGGTGAATTTGATTCTTCTTCAGTCTTCTCGAATTCTCCGTGAGAGATTTGAGTCGGGCTATGGGCCTGTTGATCCGTTGGGGCTTGATGGATTAATTGAACGTGCGTTGGGATAGAGGATCCATGTTGACTAGTAGCACCATTTGCATCGGGCGGACCACATATGTTCCATGCATCGGAAAATATCTCAGTGCATCTTGAGATTTGGTGTTGTCGATGGCGCCCACCTCCCAGCTAAAATCATCGTCCTCTAATGAACAAGTAAATTACAAAAAGAAAAATGAAATCCAGGTAGGACTCGTCACATGACTATATTATATGACAAGTTTTCATATTCAAATTAGAAACATACATGTAAAATTCATTTTCTCGAACACGCACAAGTGTTGACAGATGCAGCATTTACGATTATCTCTCTCTGTTCTTTTGATATAGCAGCCTGTAGGTGCAGATTTTGGTATCTCAGGTGTAGGAGTTTATTTCCCTGATGCAAAATATTAGGCAACATTTGTAGCGATGATGCTTTGGAGCGTTCTTCTGTTGTAGCATCCTGTAGGTGCGGTTGAAGTGCCTCTAGATGTATGAGTAGTGTTTCCTGATGCAGATGTTAGGTATCGAAAAATGTTAAATTTGTATGGAACTTGCTTTGTATGTTGTGACTCCATTTTCGTAATGAAAATGGGGGCCATGGGGCCCCTCTGATCGAAAAAAAAAACACGCACAAGAGTGCGTATCATATATTAAAGGAGGGAGAAAAGGGTACAGAAACCCAGCCACTTTGGATAGGAGCATATATTACATGGTAGTCCACCCACAATTGGGCCAGTCACATGATTTAGAGAACTACTCCGGATTAACCCACCTAGACCGTACATGTAAAATTTACATGTACGGTAAACAAAACATATGGCTGGTTCAAGCGACTACCATGAACCGTGCATGTAAATCAGTAAATGTATGGTGAACAAAAAAAATGTTAGTCATGTATTTATAATTTTTGCCTAAAAAATTTATTTTATTATTTTGTGTCGCGTACATTTACAAAGTGTTCAACATATATTTGAAAAATATTCATACTATTCTTAAAAATTGAATAACTGCATATTTAGAACAATTTACACTGTGTAACTAGCAATTGTTTAGCATGTATTTTTAGAAGTGTTCATAGTGTATTTTAGTAATATGTGACCAAATTTTCAAAATTGCATGATTTGCTATAAATACGTGAATACTTTTATTCTTGCCATACATGACCGTCTTTTCACTTTATATCTATAATACTGATCATCTTCAGAAATTTTGTGTGGGAAAGAAATTTTTTCACGCACATTTTTTCCTTTTTGAATCGTGCACACATACACGTGTGGTGTGCTACCAGAAATAGAAACAGCGCCAACTGAAAAAACAGAAACAAGTATGGTGAATGACGGGGCATAAAGGGCACGCAAGCGGTGAATCAGGTTGCAAGTAGGGGTGCAGAGCGGCGCCCGACCCGTCCCGCATCCAGCTTTGCAGAATCTCATCCCTTCATTACGAAAGTTTAGAGCTGTCAGTTTATTTTAAACTAACTTACCATGTTATGCGGGACTAGCGGGACCCGCATCTGCATCCCTAGTTGTAAGTGAAAGTCTGCTTTTTTACGATCATATGGTGAGCTA